TATTTAAATTTAAGTTATTAATTAATTTGATAAACATTTTTGATTTGATTTTATTTTATTGATTTTTTGTAAGGCCTCTAGTTTATCAATTCAAATGGAAAAATTGAAATGAAGAACAATTTGTTGCTCGTAAGGATCAGGAATTATATTTTGTGAACATTGTCGATCTCCTCGCGCATCCCTCCTTCGAAATGCTCCGTTTTTAATTAGTTGCCCCAGGGTGGATTCTCATGAGCAATGAACAAGAGGACGAGATGGAGAGAAAAGGAGAGATAGAGAGAGTGAGTGAGTGAACAGCATTGAATGAGATGAGACGCACAGACGCAGAAGCAGGTCCGGCTGGAATGGGCAAAAGGGCTTTCGTTGAGAAGGGGCCACGAAATGAGCCAAGCGAAAAAAAAAATTGAAATTAAAAAACTACAGGAGACTTTTACGCATAGTAGGTACGCAGTGTGTGAAGTGTGTGTATGTGCTATAAGACGAAAACGAAAAAAAAAATCAAAAGAACATTGAGAACCGGACCTGACAATGATCTCCTGCTCATGAAACTAAAAGGCAGCAATGGCAACGGCAACGGCAGCGGTTAAAGCAACAACATGCTGCTGCTCAAACCCAACAAATTGTGAGTTTCGGTTGACGATGACAGTGTGAGAGCCTACCACTCTTCCCCTTAAAGACACATACACTCACACACACACACATAGATATCGTATCAGGCATGTATTTGCGCTTATGCTTAAAGCAAAAAAAAATATGCCGAATGAGATATTTGGCAAACCTAATACAAATGCATGCTCATACATATGCCCAAAAATGTGTGTATGTATGCGTATGCATACATTACGTATTGCTTGGACAAACATGTGTCTGGTGGCTTGTGTGTATGTAGCACAAATCATTTCTCAAGCTGTCCAAAACTATATCAATTAGGGTCTTTAAATATTGTCCAGTTAGGTGAGGAAGACAATTTGCGACCGCTGCTCGCTGCTCGCTGTCTGCGCATTTCCCACCAAACAACGCTCCAAATCAAACCTGAATTAGTTAGCGGCGTGTGTGAGTATGGATAGATGGATAGATAGATTGGTTGGTTGGGCAGGGTAGGGTACTGCTCTCATTAATTGAGTGAACATGTCGAAAATTGGTTGGATGAGAAGATTTACTAGTTAGTGCCTGATAACAGCACCTCGCTCAGCACCGAAGGCCGGCTCAGAAAAATGCTTACAATTGGACTTACAATGCCAATGCAGCGTGTATTTGTTGTTTCCAACCATACGCAGAGCCAGCCACGCAGTGCTGTTCCGCATGCATGTACAAACTCTAACATTGCTCGAGTCGACGACAGCCAGACGAACGATCGAACCTAAAGCAGAAACCATGCGGTCGCAACATGTGTGCTGTGAGCAGGATGACTACAGCACGCCACAGGCCGGCCGCAGTGTGTGCGACAAAACGAGATGGCTGTAGTTTAGGGCAACAACATCAACAAAAAACAAATGTCAAACTAATAGAAATGCGACAACAAATAAAACGCACAGCGTGTATAGTGAGAGGCGGACAGAGGGAGAAGGAATAAGTGTTCTCTCTTGCTCACGACCGCAGAGCCAAGAGAACACGATTCAGCGAATAATTGAATAACAGCGACTGCTCACGCTTGTCTCTGCAACATGTTAATGTTAAGCTTAACATAGGCGACAAGTCTGTTGTTGTATTTGGAACTTAACTTTTATACTTTATATCAAACTTGTTTCGTTTTTACCGTTACAGTTGATCGTGTGCCGCGTGCCCTGTTGGACGTCTGCTCGCTCGTCTCTCGAGGCGTTCAAAAATAAAATAGAAATATATATACACTGGTATAAATAAAATAAAATAAACTTCAATTATATGTTGCCACCCGGGTGGGTAAAAACGACAATCAAGAGAAATAGTTTCAAATGAATTACATACATATAATGAAATAAAACAGGCAACTCTGCAGGAAAAGGCAATTCAAATATCAAAGATAAAGATATTTACATAAAACTCATACGAAATTCATCAACTGACATCAAGTGCGTCAATTGAATTAATCGAATAGTGTTTGCAAACGAAATCAAATCCCCAAACAAATACAGTTAAATGCATCCAAGTTTAAATTGAATCGCATTTTCAGTCTCTGTGTGCGAGAATGTGTGTGTGCGTGTGTATGTGTGTTCAGGATTTTCACACCTTTGCACGGTGGCCAAGCGTGTTTCACACATTTCTTGAAATTAAAAATAAATAAATCGAAAATCAATGAAAATTATATAAATATATAATTCGGACTTTGACCCTTGACACGTGCTCAATTGCAACTTTAGCGCCATTTGGCTGTCACAGTTAAGTGTCACCAAAAAAAACTAAATAATTGAAGCATTTAAGCACATTTATAAAATGCTAAATAATATGAATTCTACGCAAATTGATGGAAATAATCATCGAATCATGGTCATGATAATTAAACTACATAAGTTTCATTTGGCGAGCCCCGTGA